AGGCTGGCCTCTTTTTTTTTTATTTATTTATTATACAGTGTTCTGGCATGGAGGGCACTAGACCTCATTACAGATGGTGGTGAGCCATCATGTGGTTGCTGGGAATTGAACCCAGGACCTCTGGAAGACCAGCCTGTGCTCTTAACCTCTGAGCCATCTCTCCAGCCCCCCAGGCTGGCCTCTAACTCTCAATGCTCCTGCCTCACCATCCCCAGTGTTGGAATTAAAGGTGTATTGCTGTGCCTGGCCTGACACAGACTTGTAAAATATTCAGATGTTCTGCCTGCAGGGAAGGGTGGAAGAACCAGCCTTCTCCCAGCATATTCTGGGCCAGCATCACTTCTTTCTGTTTCCATGGTAATGCCATGCAGTGACTTCCTGTTATACTCCTCAGTTTACGGATGGGGAAGCTAAGATCTGGCAGTGCATAGCTCCTGTCAGAGTCACTCTGAGGGGGGAACACCCAGGACTCCACACTAGGAGCTCGAGGACTCTCCCGGGGCTGACACTCATGAGCGTATTTTCTCTTTCAGAAATGGCTGAGCGGCACAATGCCAAGCAGATCCTGCAGCTGGCCCGGGACCTGGTGCACAAAGTACAGATCCTGATCGAGAACAAGTGAGGGCTGCAGCAGCCAGGCTTCCCTGCTGCCGTCTATACCTTCCCCTCCTGCAGCCCAGCACGAGGTCCTGGTGTCTGCTGACTAGTGTGGACTGCTGTGTGAGAGCCATACCCTTGACCTTGGCCACTGGACGGTGGCGTGGAGGAGCCCAGCTCAGCCTTACGTTTTCCTGTTTGACCAAAGATTGCCCGAGACTGGGATTTCCCCCTCTTGGGAGCTGGGGTTGTAAGTAGAGGTGGCCTCTGGGCCTGTTGTCCCTGTTCCTTCCTCTGTACCTGGCAGTGTTCCAGAACATTTATGCCAGGCCGGCTTAAAGCAAGGTCTCAGGCATTGCTCACGTTCAAAGTCCCAGATGTCTGAGCATCATCCCTGGCTTCAAACCACCAGATGTTACCCGTACCATCACCCAAGGTGACCCAAAAGTCCCTGCACAGCAGATGTGCCCCACCAGAGAACCACTGGCTTGGTAGAGGGGCTACCGACATAGCCGTGTCTGTTCTCTTCCTGCTGAGTCACCTGAGGTCTGTTGCATGGCCCAGTCAGAAGCACATAGCTTCCCACAGTCCTGCTGGAGTCAGGTCTCACTTGCTGTGTTTTCTGATTTTGCTCTGCCCGCTCCCAGGAGACTTTTAAGAGGGCATCCTGCGAGTGCCCTGGGGATGCAGGAACTGTTTTTAGGAGGGAGGCGGGAGCTCCTGATGAGAGCCTGGCCCTTACTCCCCTCCCTAGGGGAGACCTCCCAGCCTTCAGCTGTGGACCTGGGCTCAGAAGCCTGCAGACTGTTTGCGGAAGCCCTGCTCAGGTAAACTAGCTCTTCTCTGAGTACTTAGTTCACTCAGAACAGAGGAGGGACGAGCCAGGGGTTGGCGCCGGGACAGGATTGATCTGTGCTCCATGATGGTGGGCTGGGGACGGGTGGGTCAGAGAATGGTTCCTCTCCACCTTCGTGCCAAGCCAGACACTGACCCGGGATGAACTGGTGTGCCTGCTCACTATCCCCCAGTAAAGCAGTCTGGGTGCGACAGAAATCAAAAGTCACAGCAGAAGCTCATTCTCGGACCTGCAGCCTCTGGGGCAATCAAGGAATGTCAAGTAGGAGTTTGGAGAGAGAAGAGAGAGGAGACAGGGGTGGTTTGAAATCTCTCCAGGGGCCTTCAGCCTGGCCACTCTGTAGCCTTGTGGTGTCCTCCCTCTGTCACACCTCCTGAGTCAAACCTCTGCCTCCACTCTGTGGGCAGGGTGGACAGAAAGAGCCCTTACTGCATCTCCATGGACAGCCCAGGGCAGCAGGAAAGGAGGCGACCTGATGATCATGGTCACCTCCCAACCAGATCTCTAGGCTTTCTAAGATGGGAGAAAGGGCCAGCGGATAAAGGTTTATTTTGCCACAGGGCGGCTGCCACGAAGGGTGGTGTTTTAGCACAGCCAGGTCCAAACCCCTGACCCTTATTTATTTTTGTAACTGACCAGTGTGGAGTGTAGCACAGGATCTCCCACCGCCCCTCGTGCCTCCAGCCTGTGTGCTTGTGGATCTGAGTGCCTCCTATTTATTCCACTTACCAGCTGATGTCTGTGTGTCGTGTTTTCTCCTGTCCTGAAGTTGGGTGTTGGGGAGTGTCCCCCTGCCCTGGCAGTTCTCTCTTTAGTGTTGCCCAAGTGTCTTGTGTTTACTAAGAGGTGGTTCTATTCAGAGGAAATATAGCTGAGTGAAAACCTAAGTGTGGGTCTAGTTATTTTGCTGCTTCTTTGTTTTTTGCTTTTGTTTTGACGAGGTCCTGACTGGCCTGGAACTTGCTATGTAGACCAGATTGACCTTGAAGGAGATTCCTCTGCCTTTGCCTCTCAAGTTCTAGGATTAAAAGTGTGGATAAGGTTTCATGTAACCCAGGCTAGCCTTGACCTTTCAATCCAGCAGAAGCTAACTGAGGCTAGGTTTGAACTTCTGATCCTCCTAAGTGCTGTGATCATAGGTACTTACTATCTTATCTTTTTTTTTTTTAATTAATTGCAGAGGACCTCTTTAAAAAAAAAGAAAAAGATTTATTATGTATACAACATTTGCCTCCATGTATGCCCACACGCCAGAGGAGGATGCCAGATCTCATTACAGATGGGTTGTGAGCTACCATGTGGTTGCTGGGAATTGAACTCAGGACCTCTGGAAGAGCAGCCAGTGCTTTTAACCACTGAGCCATCTCTCTAGCTCCTCATCTTTTTGGCTTACAGCAGAGTCTGAGAGGCCCTAACCTTCTCATGCCAGGATGGTGGGAACAGTCACCTTCCCTCCCTCTCTCTCCCAGGGGAGGTCCCAGTAGAAAGAGGGATGACCAAGGCAGGGCAATGGGAGGGGTGCTGTTCATTGACCCTCTTTTTCTCTAGCTGGATGTTCCTGAGGAATTCTGGCCTTTATCTAATTACCAGAAAGCCACCTGAGCCTATCTCTGGATATTTGGGCTGCCGTTTGGAGTCTGGGGAATTGGTGTTTCCTTTGGACCTGATTGATGGTACCCAAGGAACAGCACTCCAGGCTGACCTCTGGCCTCACACACTTGTGCTCCATATAGAACACACACACCGAGAGAGAGAGAGAGAGAGAGAGAGAGAGAGAGAGAGAGAGAGAGAGAACTCTCACCAGAGTACGGGTGAGAAGCGTTGAGAATACACTAGCATCCAAAGAGATGGAAATAGGCATGACTTTCTCACGATGCCACCTGGACTGGGGTTTTCTGTCCTTCTCTATCCTTTGGAGATTTCGGATCCCAGCTCTCCTGCTGTCAGACAGAACTATCCTCCAAGCGATCGGCCACCATCTTCATCAGTTCAGCTGTGTCCAAGCAGGGCTTGTGGACTACTGACCTGAAAGCTAAGGCTCACGCAGCCATGAAAGCTGCCACGAGCATCTTCACCCTGGCTGGGCGGCTCATAGGAAGGGTCATGGGCTCTTTCCTGGCATGTCTAGCCATTCCTCTCCACCAGTTGTACCCAATTCTGCTCTAATTGTACATGGCCTGAGGGTCTCGGGGATAGAGCGTAGTGTGTGTATGCTGGCAAGGCTAGAGGAAGGGGTCTCCATCTATGCATCCACAAAGAAGCCGTCATTCATGCTGGGGACAGACCTCCAGGGTGGCTGGTTTAATGTCACCCACACTCCTTCCTGCAGCCCTCACTTATTGCTCTGTATGTAAGCCTAAGAAACTCACTGGTGTTCAAACTTCAGTTGCTGTCGGTGTGGAGAGTTACATGTTTAGTGCTTCTAGGCACCCAAGGTGGAAATTCCCATGACAAGTGCTTTGGCTGTGTGTCCCTGGGTAAGAGTTAACTTCTCTGAGACTTAGTTTTCATACATATGCAATGGGAAAAGTAGAGGTTCCCTTGGTTCTGGACTCCCGCCTGAGGGGGTGCCATCCCTTTATGCTGCCGAGAAGTCCTGGCTGGGAACCCACCACCCCTGAGTTCCTGTTGAATGCTGGGGCTCGGCTGCCCTCTCGCTCTTGTGCAGTCAGGAACCGAGCCTGCGGATGGTGCTACACATTCAAGTGCGTCATCCCGACTCAGCCAACCCAGTTAGGAAAGCCTCTTGCTGGTGTGCACGGAGCCCACCTGCTTTCTGAGGTCCTGTCAAGTTGACAGTCAACATAAATGATTACAGACACGAAGTCTGGAGACAGACAGACATCAGAACCAGATGGAAGCTGAGCTCCCAGGAAGAGCAGGGTTTCCTCCTCAGTGCTCTATGTTTGTGGAAGGTGGGGCAGGTCCTGAGCCCCACCCAGCAGGGAGCACCGTTCTGCACGCAACACTAAGTAGCTCATGGGAAATAAAGACCTTCCAATCCTCTAAGAGAGGAGGGGTTATAAGGGAAGAGCAAAAACATGGAAAGGGTGTCCAATCAGAAGGCCTTGGTGGCACATGCCTTTGATCCCAGCACTTGAAAGGCAGAGGTAGGCAGATGTCTGTGAGTTTGAGGCCAGCCTCGTCTATATAGAGTTCCAGGACAATCAGGACTACATCACAAGACCCTGTCTCAAAACAAATCAAAACAACAAAAAAAGAGTTTTCAATTAGACGGCCGTCTTCCCAGGGTGGCGCTGTGCACTTTCCATCCATATATTTCATTCTCACCCGAGTTCCCGTAGTCCTGTGAGCCAGGGGCAGGGCCACAGCAAATGTTTGCTTCGTTTACATATGGCAAATCAAAGTCCTCCACAAAGTGGGCATTATGCCAACCTCCAATTTACCAAAGAATAAATGAGTCCAGAAAGGAAGTAACTTGCCTGAGGTCACACAGCATGGAAACAAAGGAGGTAGGATTTAAACCTGAGTACGCAGAGTGTAGACATAATTAAGGAAGTTCACGAGAGCCCGTAATAAAGGATAACAACTGTTTATTTGGAGAAGCACTCACAATAAAAAAGTTGCAACTGCCCTCTGCTCTGTTGGTGCTAGGGGCTGCATACAGAAACTTAGACTGCCAGCCAAAAGGGCGAGCATGCTTCCTGTCTGGGTTTATCAGTCCACACGTAGTACCTCAGGCCACGCCCTAATGGGCCAGTACCCAAAAGGCTGTTGGCTAAGGAATTCCCACAACAGTAGAATAGATTATTTTTGTTTGTCCTTTGCTTTCCTGGGTGATGCTCATTTGCTTATTCTGACTCAAGAGTGATTCCTTGAGTGTCACGAGGGGTGGGGATGGCTGTCCTCTGGCTTGTGGTCATCCGAGGCCATCCGATGACAACAAGCAGGCTGGTCAGGATCGCATTGAGGATGGCAGTGGTATAGCCCCAGCTCAGCTGGCATGTCCCACTGTAGTACACGGAGGAGCCTTCACAGACTTCTTTGGCTAATGGGGAAGCCAGAGTGACTGGAAAAACAAGCAGACCTACAAGAGTGGAGGCTGCTGGGAGCAGCAGAAAGGGAAAGTCAGTCTTGGGCAAAGGCTTCTGGGATGTTCTGTCATCCTAAGACTCACCAAGAACCCTGTCATCCCCTACCACTGCTACATACCCATCCATCCATCCATCCATCCATCCATCCATCCATCCATCCATCCACCAATCTATCCAGCTATCAAATCATCCATCCTTCTAACCACTTACCCAGTCATCCATCCACCCATCAACTCACCTACCCGCCCACCCACCTGTCCATCCACCTATCTGTGTGTGCACCCACTCACCCATCTATCCATCGACCCATCATCTCTCCATCCACCCACTCTAGAGACTAAGGCACACACACACACACACACACACACACACACACACACACACTTTGCCCAACGTCCTGGCAGACGGTGATATTTTTTTCTGCTCAGTTTATCACCACATGCATTAGAGTAGAATCCTGGGGGGTCAAATTGCAGATTCCTGGGGAGCTTCAACACTGTGTAACTAGGTGTAGTCTCACAAACTCTAAAGATCAAGAATCTATTAAAAAATAAAAGCAAAAGAAACTCCTGGTGGAAACGATAAGGCTAGAAATAAAAGATCCACACTTGACTGGGGTCCTCCCGCTGAGAAGGCAGCTTCAGGCTCAGAAGTAAGATTCCAAGCAGGGCTGCAGAGAGGGGAGGGACTGTGGGGTGAGTATGGGATTACAGCAGCAGGGAGAAGTGAGCAGCTGGGGAGGCCAGGCCAGGAAGGGGAGGGCTGAGGCAGCAGAGAGAGACTTGGGTTTCCTTCTTCCTGCCACGGAAAGCCCTTGGAAGGTGGCTAAACCAGTCAGTTGGGTCTTGTTTCCCTCAGCTGGTCTGGTCTGTGAGCACAGGATGGGTGGGAGACACAGGGGGGTTGGGGGAGGGCAGGTATGCTAGGGCAGGAGAGGAAGAGGAAGACCGAGCCTGTGGGGCTGGGTGAGAGGGGCGGAAGGCAAATTAGATGAGAGCATTGTGGGGCTCAGGGAACCCCACCAAGAGGATCCCAGCAACTAGAGAAGAGCGACCCTCCTCCACTGAGGCTGAAGTGAAGCGAGGACTAGACCCCAGCATTTTCTCAGCTCTTGGTTGGACATCCTCGGGCAGTGCACAGCCTACCCAACATGCAGTGGTAGCGATGGTAAACATGGTACAGAATGGATAGACCAAAGAGAAACATAGGGGTTGACAGGGTTGGATGTGGGTGGTCCCCTCCAAGATCTCGGCACTGTCTGCAGGAGTCTACCTGCTGCTGCCTGCACCACAGGTGTTGGACCAGAGCCCCTCCTGGGATATAATCTTCTTGAGGCCAGCGCCCAGGCCAAAAGAAGAAGAGCACTAATGGCCAGCAGGACCCAGCCTCCCAGGAGCATTGCCGCAGAGACCTTCAGGAGAGAGGAGAGAGGGAGGTGGGATGGGGACATGGCCATCACTGGACCTATGGCCCAGTGAGTCCCTGAGATGTTCCCAACAGCCATGTGTTATCATAACCCCATTCTCCCTATCAATAAGTAGAGATCCAGAGATTGTAAGTCCTTTGTCTTAAGACACACAGCTAATCAGTCCAACAGAAGCAGAATCCAGGTCAATGAATCACCACATCCAGCCCTTATTAAGCGCTTGCCAGGATCACCAGCAGAAGCACTGTCACATTTGTGGTCAGTTTTGAAGGCTGTATAATCTTCCTCCTGGGTGCTGGACTAGGTACCTGCTCTTCACCCTCCCCACTGTGGGTCACCATGACACGCAGAACCATAAGGACGCGGACACCTCATCTCTCATTGGTTAAAGCCCAGCAGTGCTTTGGGTGGAGTCAGGCCGGGGTGGGCAGGGCGTACATTGCAGAACCACCCGCAGACTTGTTTAATCTCTGACAATGATTTCCTAGCAGGTGGCTGTATGCTTGAAGAAGGTGACTTTTCCTGGGTTGCAAAAACATCCTAAGAGCCACCTCTAGACAGAGTCACACGTGCCCCATGCCTGCAGAGCCCAAAGCTCAGAGGCGTAGCCCAGAACCTTATGCAAAGCTCCTTGGCTGTTTCTGATAGTTTTTGGGCTTAGGAACCTGTGTGCTTAGACACGGGGACAAACAGTGTAAGTTAAGGACCTTCAGAGCCCACTCCTCAAGAGCCAGTAGCCCTGGAAGACATGTGTCTCACCTTCCAGGCCAAGCCTGGCATGTCCTTCAGGGACCCGAAGGTCATACAGCTCTGGTTCCAGCGGTTATCCTGTGACCAGGAGCAGTGCATGAAGACACCATAGGAGAAGGAAGGGCTCTGGAACCAGGCAGGGGACACCAGGCTGAGGCCAGACAGGCCTGTGAGCGAGAGTCCTAGAGCAGCCCTCACGCTGACCTCCATCAGGAATGTGGCTGACCTAGGGGTCAAGACAAGGTGAGAGATGAAGAGGGTGCAGTGAGGTGACCCAGCACTGGACACAACAGGCCCCATTCACGTGCTCCCTCTCTCACCTACACACTCACGCCTTCCTCCACCCGGGTCTCCCGTGACGGTTAGTCTTGACTGTCAGTTGTCTATAACCAACAAGTCTCCATGAGAGCTAGTCTAGATAGGAAGGCCCATCCTAAACGTGGGCGACAAAGCTGGGATCCTATGCTGAATAAAATGAGAAAATGGGCTAGGCCGTGGCCTTCCTTCGTGGCTCTCTGCTTTCTATGGAAGATGTAGCGGCCTGACCCTCCTGCCACCTTGCCTCGCCTTCCACCGTGGACACTGAACCCTCAGACTGCAAGCCAGAATAAACCCGTCTTTCTTCAAGTTGCCTATTGTCGGGTAGTTGACCACAACAAGAAAATCAATGTCTCCCTTGTCCAAAAGGACAGTCCTGTCCTGCACAGTGGCATCCCTGAGGTCTCACACTCCCAGGCTAGGTTTCTGTCCCAACCACCACCTAACTCCTCTCGGAGGAAGGCCTGGGACTTGTCCATCATTCAGGGTGGCCTAGGATCTCGTGGGGTTTGGGCAGCTGGTGTCTGAGGCACTCGCTACTGACGCTCTTGGGAGACTGTGGATTCCATCTGCTCCTGTCCCACGGGAAGGCATTGTTGATTCTTATCTTGGCCACCAAGAGCCCCATGTCCTCATACCATCATGGTGGGATGAACGTTCCAGCTAGGAACTATAGGGGAATAACAGAGATGTTCAGACTCACGCAGGATTCTGTGAGAATCTGGGAATGTGGACCCATGACCCTTGGAGTCCTGCTAGACTTGGTGTTGTCTCCATCCACTTTCTACTGCTATAATATAATATTGTAGACTGTGTCATTTATAAAAAAAATCATATGATTCATGATGCTGGGGACTGGGAAGACCAAGTGTACTGTGTGGCCTCTGCTTAGTATCTGGCAAGATGTACAGTCTGTCTCCCTCCTCTCCCACCTCCTCCTCTTCCTCCTCCTCCTCTTCTTCTTTTATGGTGTGCATATGTGTATATGCATGTGTAGGCATGCATGAACATGTAGGCACATGCATACAGAGGCCAGAGGTCAGCCCCAGGTGTGAGTCCTCAGGAGTCTTCATTTTTTGTTTTGAGACAGGGTCTCTCCCTGGGACCTGGAGCTTGTTCATCAGGCTGACTCACCATTGAGCCCCAGGGTCCGCACACCTCTGCCTCCCTAGTGCTTGGATTAGAGGCATGCACTACACTGGGCTTTTGTTTGTTTGCTTTTTGAGACAGGGTCTGGCTGTCCAGGACTCCATATGCAAATGAAGCTGGCCTCCACTCAGCGATGGGCCTGCCTCTGCCTCTACTGGGATTAAAGGCGTGCGCCCAGACTCAGCAACGCTGGATGCTTTACATGGGCTCTGGGGGCATCAGGTCCTCAGGCTTGCACACAAGCACTTGCGACGAACAACTCCCTGGCCCTCTCTTCTTCTTCTCATGAAGCCACTAACCAACCATCTTGGGGCCCCACCCTCCTGACCTCACTAGCCGGCTCCCACCTTGACTTTCCAGTGGCCTCACCTCCAGACACAGGACTTTGAGGATTTAGTTCCCAGCAGGGAAGCTGTGAGGGGTACACCCCAATCATGACCTGTTTTCTAAAGAAAAGTAAAATTCAGTTAAACACAAAAAAAGCAAGGGGCTTGAAGCAGAACTTTACCTAAATAACAAAGGATGTCTTCTGGTCCGGCCTGGAAGGAGGCTCTGCCAGGGGAGGCTTGCCCTGGTGCTGGTGCTGGTGGAGGTGGAACCTATTCAAACTCTCTCAGGGGTAAGTCAGAGCTGGGTCCTCGCCAATGGCAAATGGCCTGGCAATGCGACTGTAGGACTTGGGGGTTCTCAGAGCCCAGTTGGTACTTAAAGGTAGCGTGAAATCCTAGCCTCTCACCTGGGATCCAGGGCTAGATGGCCAGGCTACAGTCCATAGTTCCTCCATGTGTATAAGAAGCACATAGATTCCCAGCATGTGTGGTTCAGAGGAGCTGGCCGTCGGGGCTTGGGGGTGTGCCTTAGTCCTGTCAAGAGGAAGGGGAGATTTCTGTGGGGATGGGGAGAGATGGGCCTGGGCAGACGGGCACAATCAAGTTGTGAGAACTTTCTACTTTGGGATTCGGAATCTCTCTAAGGCTGCTAGCCAGCAGGTGAGGAGCCATCCCCCTGGGTGACAAAGAACTTATTTTTCCCCTTTTACCAAAACCCACACCTCCCATGGGTCAGCTGATCTCAGGGGTGTAATTTCAGGCCAAGAATCTAGGAGTGCAAGCCCTGTAGCCCCGTCCGCCACTGTCCCAGGGTGCTCTGGTGTTTCTGGGTCCTTGAAAAGACTGGGTAAAAATCACAGCCACTAAACAGGTGCCCAGAAAACTAAGTGAGGCCTTACAAACCCCAAAGCACATTTTGCCAGGTTCCATTTACCGGCGTTCACCTACAGGGAGCCGGAATGAAACAGAACGGACAGTTTCTGCTTGTCTAGATCTGACTTTTCAGTTTAATTTAAAAAATTATTATGTGTATGGGGAGTGGTGTTCCAGTGAGCACGCGGAGGCCAGAGGACAGCCTAAGGAAGGTGGTTCCCCTCACTCACACCAGGTAAGTTCCACTGACTACCTCCACCGGCTGAGTCCTGCTGGCCCCTGCAGCTGAAGGAACCCGTGCTAGCACCTAGTGAGTGGTGCTGTTCCATCCATGGGTGGTAAAGTTGAGGCTCAGACCCAAACTTAGAGAGCAGGCACCTGCCTTTCATCCCAGGGTTCTTGGGGATACTAAGGATTTAGATCAGAGGCTGGGCATCCCGATGGCCTCCAGATTTTGCCAGTTAGGGCATCAGCAATTGTTCCGCCAGCTCCAGCCAGGAAATAGAGATGATCCAAGGCTAAGATCTGTCCCCAACAATCTCAGGAGGGAAGAAAGGCACAGAGGTGGCAACTGAGGACTTCCTATGTAAAGCTAAGTCATACTCTTCTCTAGATTTGGGTGTCCTTGTATATAGACTGGAGGCGTTTGGACCCTATTCCTTTAACTGGTAGGTTCTGAGCCCACAATGACCCCAAAACTCAGTATAACACATGATGAACATTACATAATCTGATTCTTTAAGGAGCATAGGGTCCTGTAAGCAAGACAGGACCATAAAACATAATAATATGGCCTCCTATATCCATCCATCATCCACCCATCCATCCATCCATCATCCATCCATCCATTCATCATCCATCCATCATCCATCCATCATCCATCCATCCAATCATCATCCATCCATCAACCATCCATCCATCATGTACCTATCCAATTCAGCAACCCACCCACTCATGCATGCAATTATCCTTCCATCCAGTATCCTTCCATCCATCCCATAGTTATTAAATGTCTAGTACATTCCAAAGTCTATTCTAGATGGTAGGAACTGAACATCGAACAAGTCAGCCACAGCTTCTCTCCCATGGATCCTGCCCCTGATGGGGAAGAGAGGAAATAAGTCAACATGTAAAACAGATGCTTGGACTTGGTGTGTGAGAGGAAGTGTGTGTGGGGGGGGGGGCAGGGATGCCCCCAGGGCTTTTGACCTGGGGACCTGTGATGGTAGTGCAGCATCAGGAGAGTCTGAGCCTAGACCTCAGAGGAAGCAGTCGCTGAGCAATAAAACCATATGCATGTCAGAGCTGCATGGGACAAAGCTCTGAGGAAGGACATTGGGCTGCCAGGTGAGATCTGAAGACGGGGTCCTTCCAGACATGAACTCTTTCACTAGTGTCTGTCTCAGCCAGGCCTGCTGGCGATGTCCTTTGGGACAAATGACGCAATGGCTCAAAGTCTCAGTTTCTCCAGTTACAAGACAGGCCCTCACCTACAGCAGGGGCGCCTAACGTTTGGAAGTATGAGCTTCTTTAAAAATGTGATTTCACAGGGGCTGGAGAGATGGCTCAGAGGTTAAGAGCATTGCCTGCTCTTCCAAAGGTCCTGAGTTCAATTCCCAGCAACCACATGGTGGCTCACAACCATCTGTAATGGGGTCTGGTGCCCTCTTCTGGCCTGCTGGCATACACACAGACAGAATATTGTATACATAATAAATAAATAAATATTTTAAAAAAATGTGATTTCACACAGTGCTGTGTTCCACATTCAAGCTCCAGACTACACAGACAAACACACAAGAGTGTGTACACTTCAGGGCTCCTGTTGCAGCCCCCTGAAACCTGCTGGGCCCCCCTAAGTGATGCCTGGGGCCAGTCCACTCCTTCCTCTCTCCTCACCTCAGATGTCCCTTCTCTTCAGGATCCTCACACCTTGGGTCAGGCCTCTCCAAGGTTTCCTTCTCAATTGGAGCTCCCCTGCTCCATCTCTGGCCTTAAACATAATCTGTAAGCTTTTAAAAGGTCTCTTTTCCTTTAAAGGTCGCATTCAGATTGGTGAGCAGAGCGGAGTCACCCGAGGAACTGGTCTGAGAAGGGTATGTGCACACCTGTGCATTTTCCTTCCTGGTTCCTGAAATCAATAGCTTTTCACTTTGTACTGACTGATGGGCGGGACCCAGAGGGGAACTCCAGTCCCAGATAAAAAGGAGGGAAGGGGGATGGGGTTTCCTGGGAAGGAGAAGGCACTTACAGGGGCTACCTAAGCAGTTAATAAATATGGGGCTTACACCTTCTCTTTGTTCTAAATGGTGAAAATGTAACCCAAGATTATGGAAATGCAACTTCAAAGAGGCTCAAGTAGAAATAAGAAATGTACAGACGCACATTGTGGTGATATTTTGCTTGTAATCTAACAAATAAAGCTAATCTAACAAATAAAGATCAGAGTGTAGAGCTAAGCCATTAGAGACCAGGCAGTGGTGGCTCACACCTTTAATCCCAGCACTTGTGAGTCACAGGCCTTTAATCTCAGTCCTAGGGAGGTGGAAACAGGAAGGGATCTGGCTGGGCAGAGAGGAGACAGCAGCTCAGATACTGTCTGAAGCAGTCGGTCTGAGGATGCAGTCTGAGGATTAGTAGAGACAGGATCACCCTTTCGGTCTGAGAATTTGATAGAGATAGAGGTCTCTCTAGTGGCTGCTGCACTGCTTCTCTGATCCTCCAGCTTTCAGCCCTAATATCTGACAGCTCATAATTGAAATTCTGTGTGTGGCTTCGGGCACAGTTCAATCCAGGTAAATAAATGATCTCAACTATCAGTCTCTCCCTGGTGTCACACCCATGCCCAGGACACACTCCTGCACCAGGAGGTGCACATCAGTTGGCATCATCAAAAGAAGAATTTTTCCCAAATTAAGGCCAGAAGACCTCAGGGGTCCGTGTGCAGCCTTGATTAGGCTCCTCCAGCAGCAGGGCTCCTGGGGCTACTGAGGTGAATTCCTGCTTCTCCATTCATGCATCCATCTCCTTTGCTAGAGGGCACTGGGAACCTTTGGGTCCCAGATCTGCTATCACTAGCTGTAAGTGGCCTGACTGGGCTTCCAGGGGCACCCAGCAGTCCTGCCCAGCTGCTGCTGGCCTTTCCTTGCTGGCCTCTGCTGGAAAAATGCCCTGGTATCCCAGCTTAGCCAGCTCAGTCAGCAGTGACGTGGCTTGATGGTGACCCTGTTCTCCACAAAAACCAAATAAATTGATGATGATGATGGTGGTGGTGGTGGTGATGGTGGTGGTGGTGATGATGATAACAAGAGACCCCAGCAGTTCTAACAACTTATCAGACTACCCCACAGGATGAGACAGACACATGGACAGGCCAGTGGCGAGTGGGTCGGCACGACAAGGACTGCTTAGATGTGTGTATCTCTGGGCATTATTCAAGGTTAATTTACACTCCAGGACCAAAAAAGTGTTGTTAATAAAATTCCTTCCCAGGAATATCTCCGAGGTCCAGTGACAAACCAGGGAATGATTGTTTCCACCAAAGTTCACTCTAGAAACCGGTGTTTATTGGACTTCCTTACGGAACCTGAGGGGTGTGGGTGCTCCCCCGAAAGGTTGCACTGGAAAGTTCTTCCCCAACAGGGATGAGGGCATCCCTATAGATGCATAGATGGAGCAAAGATGGAGCAGAGATGGAGCTGGTCTCCCTAGTCTTCCAGGGCCTCTCTACCCTAACCCCTCCCAGGATCCATATACAGCTATGGCAGAGTTGGGGTCATAGGATGCTCAGGTGAGGGTCCTACAACCCTCCACCCCCAATATCCATGGAAGGGTGGAAATGGTCGACGAGCCCAGCTGGGTTCATCTTTTTTTTCCTTCGCTTTCCTCTATTAAGTTGGCTCTTTTAATTGGCTAATTGAAGATGGGTGACTAGACTATTGGGGAACAGGCAAATTGATACCCACAAATTGGGTATCAAAACCTCTGCTCCCTGAGTTCTCTGGGCTCCTCAGGAAGCCAGCGGCTGCGGGTGCCAGCAGCAGAGGGCGCTCTACACCCACCTTTCTGCCTTGGGCTGATTCCCAGGGCTTCTCTGGATTCCTACCAGTGAAGGGAGCTCGCTGAGGTTTGTCCAACCTCACAAGGCACTTCCTGTGTTTGTTCACTCTCTCCAAGTCTCTCTTCGTTCGCTCGTGTTGGGCTGGCATCAAATCCCCAATAAGTATCCAACATGTTCTGAAGTTTGCCTGAGATCTGTTTGCCAGACTGAGATTCCCGGCGTGTGATATTGAGCGGTTTATGGGTTTTCTCTGTGCTTCAGCTCCCTCATCCGACAGCACCGCTGAAGATGCGTCACCTCTAACAGGACTGCGGCATTCACTGAACAATCACCTGGCTTGGTTTATGGCTAATTTCAGTAGTATCATCCTTACCGGGGAATCAGGGGGTTCCTGATGTAGGTTTTAGTCTCATAGATAAAAATACTCCAAAATGGACTTAGAAGGAAACCTGAAGACAATTTTACAGGCGTTTGAGAGAAAAGACCAGGGCAGGTGGGTTGCCTGTAGGAGGAGCATGGAAGGGAGAGAGTCAGGGTTGGTCAGTTAATGCTCAGGAAAGCAGGTACAGATGGACAGATGGACGGACGGACGTGGGGGCGGGGGTCTTTAGAGAGGAAGGGAGATGCCTGGGGCATTGATTTGGTGAGAAAGGCTTCCAGGTAGGAACCCAGACAGTAGGAACCCAGGCTCATCGGTAAGGATCTGTGAGCTTCAGAATGGTGGGGACAGTTCGGGTTGTATGGGTGTGTATTTTGTTAAAGGCTATTATTCTCCACAACTCCATTTAATTCTATTCTGAGCACGGTCTCCTTTAGCCCAGGCTTGCCTTGAATCTCTTTGAAACCGAGGATAGATAACCTTGAACTTCTGGCCCCACTGCTGCTTCCATCCTGAATACTGCGGTGATGGTCCTGAGGCGTCCAGTTTTAAGCTGGAGATCAAACCCAGGGCTCCCAAACGCTGCCCACTGAGCCACACGCCCACCCCCTCCATCTTTTTTAATGTCTTGGAGTCCAACTCTGCAGGCAGGCGGGGTGGAGGAGAGGGAGAGGGACGTTTTCCTATTCGGGTGATTGACCAAGTGAGACAGACTATTAAGACTGCAATGGTGCTGGGTGGTGGTGGCAGACGCTTTTAATCCCAGCACTCAGGAAGCAGAGGTAGGGGGATCTCTGTGAGTTCGGGGCCAGCTTGGTCTACAGAGCAAGTTCCAGAACAGCTAGGACTGTTACACAGAGAAACCCTGTCTTGGAAAACCAAACCAACCAACCAACCAACCAAACAACCAACCAACCAAACAAACAAGCAAAGAGTGAATAAATAAAATAAGATAAATAAAAAATTAAAAAAGAGCAATGTGTGCTCAGAATCCTGAGCAGTTTAGATCATGTCTCCACCCAGGCCACAGGTATGATTTAGGCCTCTTTTATTTTGACCAAAAACTCTGTATTGAATAGATTTAAACGAATTAAAGAAGTGACTTTGCTGGCAAGAAGCTTCCCTAGTCCTCAGCGGAGAACCTAGGGGAATTAAATCTTAAGAAGGGGCACCTGGAACACTTCCCTTTCTTAGGAATCAGTGTGTTACCAGGGAAACGGGAGGCAACATCCAAAGATGATTGTGAGGGGAGGGTGTGTGAGAGACTCATGAGAAAAGTCTTACCACAGGTCCAAAGGGACGCAGCCCATCCTGTTGGGGAAGCCCCCCATCACACTGTACTCAGAAATCAGGCAGTGAACAGGAAGGGGGCAGGCTCTAAAACCCCAGGGTCCACCTGCAGTGACCCCCTCCCACTTCCTAAAGGTTCCTCAACCTTCCCAGACAACATTGCCAGCTAGGGATCAGGTATTTAAACACATGAACCTACGGTGAGGTTCACATTCAAACCACATATCGGACCCATCCTTGGTGACGTATGAGCAGGCCAGCTAATGTCTGGCTGTCAACCAGGCCCTAGATTGTGTCCAGTGAAAATCCTGACTCCAAGTGTGGCTCCGTGTTGAGGGTTCGCTCTGTCCCAGATGCTGGGACCGACTGTGGGTTCCAACTTCAAGGGGAGAGAGAGAGAAGAAACTGGCCGTCATGAAACTGTGGTCGGCACTCCAGTGGGTGGGCACATGACGCAGACGTTTCATGTCTAAGTATGGAATCCGTCTCTACCCTGTAATCCAGAAGACCTCTGGGTGAACCGACTGTAAAGGTGAGGTTGGAGGATGGCCGTTAAGCCGAGGACGGACCAACAGAGGCAAGGGCCTCCTGGCAGGGCAATACAGCACAGCAAAGGTCTGGCGTCAAGAGAAAGCATTTCAAAGACTATATTGGCTCTTAACCCAAAGCAAAACCAAACCAATAATAAATAAACAGGACGGGCTGTGGTGTGGCTGTGGTGGAGTGCTTGCCTGCTGAGCAGGAAGTGCTGGGTCTGGTCTTCAGCATCGCTGAAACTGGACAGCACCACACAGCCCTGTAATCAGGACTGACGCAAGTTCCAGTCCAGCCGGAACTGTGTAGTAAAACCCTGGCAAGAAAATAAAGTAGAGAATAAACATGGATGAAACCTGCCGGGCAGCTGTGGGTCTTGGGGCTTCGCTGGCCACCCTGTGACCAGGGTCTTCTGCACGAAGGCTGAACGGGGCCACCGTGGAGCCCCACTGTTATAGTAAGTGCTGCTGGACAGAGCTACCACCATGGGCTTCCTGGAGGAGGCAGATGTCCTGTCCAAAAAATGATTCTGGGACAGTCCCGGAGTGCACTGTTTTTTTTTTGCACCAGAACAGACAAGCCAGGGCCTGGGGTGCCGGGTCTGGGTAGAATGGGGTGCAACTCCTGGGCACGTGTGGCTGGCAGTTTCTCGCTTGGCCTGAGTACGAGAGAATGTGGTGGAGTCTCCCAGGAAGTCTGGCCCCATGAGGACCCAGGGTGCCTCTGGGAGTTGTAGTTTGTTTTGCCTCAGTCATTCCTCCACGTGGCTTGAGTCGACAGCCTGCAGAGTGGGAATGCGGTAATCAAAGGGAACCTGTCTCGGCTTGGGGTCTGTGGGAGTGTTGGGAAAGATAGTGTTTGTTCCCTTCCCTGCTTATATTCTGAGGCAGATTGGCGGTGTCAGGTGGGCGGACCCTGCTGGCTGGGGAGCCGAGAACCACAAGTGTCCCACTACTCAGAAACATCCTGACACCTATCTTGTAACTGGTGATTGGTACAGAGAGATAGGAACTTTCTCCAAGGTTCCGGAAAAGACATGGCACATGGTGGGGTATCAGACTGGACATTTATGGCCCTGCATATCTGTTTATTGATCACCGACTGTGTCCCCGCCCTGAGGTAGGCACTGTGAATCACCTGAAGTATCTCTAGAGAGCAGAGTGCACACAAACTGCTTTTATTTTTATTTTAGTTTTTATATTTTTTATCTTTTTTTTTTTTGAGACAGAGTTTTCTCTGTGTAGTCCTGGCTGTCCTGGAACTCACTCTGTAGACCAGGCTGGCCTGGAACTCAGAGATCCACTTGCCTCTGCCTCCTGAAGGCCGGAATTAAAGGTGTGCACCCCCATACCTGGCACACAAACCAGTTTTTTTTTTATAATAACATACAAACTCTGTATAAAAGCCCTGCTTTTAGATGAATTCTGAGGGATTTTGTCTTGCAAACCAACCGTTGAAACTGCCTCAAAGACCTTCCCCTGGGAGTGCTTGACAAACACGGGGATGGGTCCAGCTGCTAATTGTGCCCATGGCATCCAGAGGACCCAAAGCACGGCTGGACTCTGTCACTGTGGACAGGTCCCTGGGGAGTCTCAGGTGGATCCTGGGTGTTACGGAAGGTGTCAGTCCTTACTTCAAAGGGGCAAAAATTCACAGGATTGAGTGAGCCGTACACACACACACCACCACCACCATCGTGATGACCAGCAATTTGAAGCAAAGAGGAGTGAGGGAGAATGGCCGACAGCTCTCTGGAAGCCACACTGCTGCTAATCCCTGTCTCCCTTTTCTTGACGTTGGGCGGGCTTGCGACAAAGGCATAAACCATGTCTCGTGACTCAGGCTGGACCATTTCCCCTGGGAGCACATGTCATAAATATGATTCAATTTTCTCATGCAATGTTTCTCCCTAATGCTGCTGAAACCCCGTGAGAACCTGAATCCTGCCAGCTGCCTCAGAGCGGAGTCTCCAGAGCCCAGCATCGGAAAGGTACTTAGTAAAGGCAGACTGGCTGTTCAGTGCTGGAGCTCCAGCTACCTGAGGGAAGGAAGGGAGCTGAGGGGAGAGACTGGATTGAACCCAGGCGCTCACACCCGAGCCATACAGTGATACCTTGAAAAAAGGAGAGGGAGGGAGGGAGGGAGGGAGGGAGGGAAACAGAGGGAGTGGACTGGCTCATGGTGGAAGACACCACTTTTGCAGTTTCCAACACCCCAGCCTCCTCCAACTCCAGTTCCTGAGGATCTATGGCCCTCTTCTGGCCTCTGCCTGCACCTGCACTTACATGAATATATACACATAACAATAACAACAATCCTTTATTGTTAATTATTAATATTAATAATTCATTAACAATAATTTTATTGATATCAATAATTAATTATTAATCTTTTAAAAAGAGAAAGTAAGAAAAAAAAGAAAATCAAATTGTGATAGATATGGTTAATGAAATGAACAAGGCAGCGGACCAGGAATGCTCTCGGGCAATGCTCTGCTACCCCACCACACCCGTCGTCAGGTGGTGGCACACAGTACGTTCCCCGGGCGGGGACCCCGGCGCAATGCCGCGTCTTTCCAGCAGGGGGTGCGCCTCGCGCAGTCTCGCCGCTCTGGGGTCCGCGCTCCGCCCCCTCGCTACTCTGCGCAGGCGCCGCCGGGAGCGGTTGCCACGGCGACGGGGCGCTTCCCGCCCGAGCCCCGCCCCCAGGAACGAGGCTGCGCGCGCCGCGGCAGGTGCGGGCGGGCAGGTGCGGCGCGACGGGCAACTGCGGTAGGTGCGCGGAGGGCGCGGGGACGCGCGGGCAGGCGCGGGGGCGCGCGGGCGCGCGGAGACGCGCGGGACGCCCACTCCTGCCCGCGGGGCCGCGTGGAAAGTTGGCAAAGTTGGCTGAGGGGAAAGCGAGGACCGGGGTGCGCCGCGTGCGGAGTGCCACTGCAGACTAGGGGATCCCATTGCATCTGCGACCGGGGCATGACGGCAGAGGACGCCTAAAGCTGGCCCCGCTCCCCACGCGCGTCCGCGGCTCGCGCGTGGCTCGGAATCGCGCTATGCTGGGCGCCGTGCAGGCCAGGGCTGCCCTTCCTCGGGCCGGGAAGTCGTGGCCTTTTGCTTTCGGAGGGAGGGCGCCTGTTGCAGAGAGCTGTCCCTGGAGGCCCTGCGACTGGCGCTGGGCCTGAGCCCTGTCCCGGGGTCGCGCCCTCCCGGGTGGCGCGCACACCGCCGGTCCGCGGTGACAAAGATGTGTAACTTGGACTTTTCGGCCAGGCCGCGCACAGAGAAGCGCTGGGGCTGGTTAATCAGTAGCCGGGACTGAAGTGGAGGCTCAGAGCTGACAACTTTCCCCCGCAGGGCGGGCAAGCGGCCAGGCTGGCCTCTGCAGACACCAGTGTCTTGGTGGGTCCAGGAGAGACCCTTTGAAGGGATTAAGTCTCTGTAGACACCCTGTTTTGGTGGGTTCTGGGGGAGTCTCCTTTTAAAGGGTTTGAGGACTTGGCAGGAGTGCACTTAGGCCCTAAAAGTGCACTGGAGGGCACTTTTGGCCCGCGGCCGCTGTGTGTGTGTGTGTGTGTGTGTGTGTGTGTGAGAGAGAGAGAGAGAGAGAGAGAGCGCCCTTGTGTGTGTGGGAGTGGCCACAGGGATACAGGGGAGTCCCAGCAAGTCGCCCAGAGCAGTTCAGAATCTGCCCCTCCGGGAGGATGACGCTCTAGTCACAGTCAGCCTGCCCTGAGCCTTTGTTGATTTGTGATGTTGGGGATGCAGCCCTCACCCCAGACTCTGAGCTAGACACCCCTCCCCCAGGGGCTCCTGGTGACTGTTAGTACTTACACTCACCTGAGCGGGGGTGGGGGGGACCAGTTGTCCTTCCCTCGTCATGTGACCCCTCTTAGCATCACCACATTTTACCAACACACAGATGAGCTGCGGATGACACGTATGTCCATTTGTCAGTTGTTCATTCACTGAACTGATGGTTTGAGACAGTGTCCGGGACTGGGCTTGAAGTCACATCCGGGGGTGAATCCTTGGTCCGTCTGGGAAGGCAGAGTGGGGGTGGCAGAGGAGGGGCTAATGGCCTGGGGCAAGAGGAGGATCAGCATCTGGGTAGAGTAGGGTGCCAGGAAACAATCTCAACTCCTTGGGCTTGGTGGCAAGCCCCTTTACCCACTGAGTCATTTCACAGCCCCGAGCACTTTGAGACTCTGGACCTTCATCTATGTAAAGGTCTGATGGGGTCCTCGGCTTCTTTATGGGGTGGAGAGGGGGATAAGGCGGGGCTTGGGGAGTGTCAGGGATAGGTCTGATGGTGTGACCTCGGGGTGAGTGTTCAGGTGGATGGTGCCTTGCCGAATCTGACTCATGTATGTATGTGCCTGTGCATGTGTGTGCCCGTGTGTATGTGTTCAAAGGTGACACTTGGGCTGGGTCTTGAGGGCCGAGGAGGAGGAGGAAGGACGGAGACAAGGGTGGGTGAGGCCTCGCTCCCAGTCCTGCCCAGAGTGGAGGGTGTGTTGAGCGAATAGAAGACCTTCGCATCCCAGCTCTGCGTTGGAAGGCTTGGGACTGCGGGCCCTGATCCCTGCCTGGAGGTGCACATCTTGCCTCCACCTACTTCAGGTAGCCGGAGACTGGATTCAGAGCTGACTTCTCTCAGAACCCTGATGGGGGTTTGGAGACAGTGAGGTAAAATTGCCAAGAGGGACCAGAGGTAAATCGGAAGGGGGGGGCTCTCGAGAGGAGGTGGAAGAGAGGCTGGCCAGGCAACATGGCCAGGACGAGGCGAGTGTAGGAAAAGCTAGAGTACAGATTTGCTGGTCTGAGTCCTTTCTCGCGTACTCTGTTCTTCACGACAGTCTGTCTCAGGCAGTGTGGCTTTGGAGACTCCCCCCCCCCCCCCAGCAGTTCATGAAATTGACGCTTGGACTGGGAGGTGGAGGAGCTGGGTTCTAAACATAGAACTGGCTGCTTGATGTCACGGTCCTCCTCGTCCCCTTTGTGGCTAGGCGTGGCTGCCCACTGTCCACACCCTGGCTGCTAGCCTTGGTGAGGGATCTCTGTTTGGGTGGAGGGCTGGACACATGGATCATTTCTCTCCCACGAGATCAATGTTTCATGGAGTCTCTGGGCATGAAAACTAGGAAGATCTCTTGTCCCCAGGAATCCTCTAGTCAGCTGTGTGGGAGAAAGGTCACATGACCCAAATCAGGAAGCAATTATGGACTTGACTTTGAGGCCTGAGTTATCACTGCCCTCTTGGCAATTGTGCAGTTAAGCGACCTTTGAAATGTCTATAGCTGTGTCTGCATTGGGAGTAGAAACGTTTCCAGAGCGTGGTCCTTGACTGTTTACACCTGAGTAGGCCGCAGTGGGTGCGCATCTGAACTTAGGGTGCTGTGCGCAGTGTGGAAATCCTGCGTCAGGTGAAAGTGTGTCAGCCTCAGACGCCCCACTGGACGCTTCAGAGAGCCATACTTAGGCTTCACGCGCTCACAGACTCCAATTTCGCCCAGGCCTCTGTCACACCTTGCCAGTTAAGAAACCTGCTTTCAGATCTGCTCTGGAGCCAGAGGGGTAAGATTAGGTCCTGGCTTTGCTGCTTCCTCTGCTCTGGGACGGCAGTCAGGTGTGCTAACCTCTCTGAGCCCATTTCCCCCTTTATAAATGAGGTAAATGATGGGACTTTTCTCTGAGGGCAACTGTGAGGACTGAGGGGCTTGGCAGGTGCATGTTGGTCCTAACCGACAGAGAAGGTGGGTGCTCAGTAAATAGCTGGGGGAAATGATTAAAAACTAACAACAATGTAAAGGAACCTCACATATAAATTTCTAGCACATCTGGCGATTCCCCATTTGAGAGCATGTGCATGGAAGTGCGCTGGTTACCGGCCCAGCGAACCAGCCCAGGGGACCGGCCCCTGCTGTTGGACAGTCATTGCTGGATGTTTGATTTTCACTCCGCCAAGCCTCCTGTTGGTGCATCCAGGAGGTGGGAGGACATATGAGCTAAAGAGAGCTTGGAGTGGTGGCCCTGCCTGCCCAGGTCCCTGGACACACCTGCCGGAGCGAAGTTGTCTGCACTGCAGGGAGGCAGAGCTTTGTCTTGTCAGGGGCCTCAGGCTGTAGCCTGCAGCCCCCAGTAGGGAAGGCCAGAGCCCCTGTAGGTTGTGTGGAGTTTGGCAGCCTGTGGGTTTGAGTCCAACCTGCCAGAGATTGTATCTTGGGAGACATCTGCCAGTGAACACTCTAGTCTTTCTGGAGGTGTGTGGCTCCTGGATCAGTTCACTCTTCCTGGGATCACACGGGTGAGAAACATCTCCCAAATCCCAGTGACTTTTAAACATAGGCATATTTTGCACACGAATCAGTGAGTGGCTTGGCTCATCTGTCTTCAAACAGATCCCCTGACTGACAGTGGTAGCCAGTGGGGTGTGCTCCTCAGGGGGTGGGTAGCAGGTGTGCAGGGGATGGACTGTAGGTGTGCAGAGGACAGAACAGCAGGTGTACAGGGGGTGGACTGCAGGTGTGCGGGGGGTGGACTACAGGTGTGCAGGGGGCAGGACAGCAGATGTGCAGGGGTATGACAGCAGGTATGCAGAGGACAGGACAGCAGGTGTGCAGGGGTGAACTACAGGTGTGCAAAAGTGTGACAGCAAGTGTGCAGGGTGAACAGCAGGTGTGCAGGGGTGGGACAGCAGGTGTGCAGGGGTGGGACAGCAAGTGTGCAGGGGTGGGACAGCAGGTGTGCAGGGGTGGGACAGCAGGTGTGCAGGGGTGGGACAGCAGATGTGTGTGGGGGGCAGCAGGTGTGCACAGAGGGTGGATTGCAGATGTGCAGGGGGTGGGTGGGACTGTGGGTACACAGAACCTCAGGAGGAAGTGAGATGGCCTTGCCTCTGTCCTTGTTCTGTAAGTCACCACAAGTCACAGGAACTACCCCATCCCCCAATTCAGGGGACACCTTGTGCTCCTTCGAGGAGGCTGAGTTGATCTTGGCTGACAACAGTGCATCCCACTACAGTCACACTTCTGAGGGGTGGGAGAGGACCTTCCTGGAGCAGAGAGGGTAGGGATCAGCCCATGATCTGTGTGGGGCCAGTGGACTTGGAACTGGGGCCATGGGGAAGACGGAACATGAATTATGAACCAGAAACAGCCTGTTTCCTTGTCTGGATAACAGAACTTGTGGCGCTCTGGCCCTGGCTGTGCTGCTGCGAGCTGGTGATCCTGTCATGGCCCATTTTGCTTCTTTGCCTTCTGAGATAGTTTCTCTAGTAGTCCAGTCTGGTCCGGAACTCCCGACCCTCCTGCCTCAGCCTCCCAAATGCTGGGATAACATCTTTGAGTACATACCTGCCTCTCAGCCTCAGTTTGCTGAGGGACACGGGACCTGTGTTTGTTACTGTAAAGACTGTGGTGTGCCTGGCAGGAAGCCGGTGACTGTTAGGGTCTTCCGGGGTCTGAGGGAGTTAGCACAGGATGAGAGTACAGTAGGGGTTTGGAGAGACTGTCCAGATTCTACCGCTCTACCGCTTGATGTCTGGTGGCTTTTGACTGGCCACTGAACCTCTCCTGTTTCCCCAGCTGCCTGGCTCAGGAGGTCTGTGAGCATGGTTGTGCTGACAGAGAGTACCTTCAAGGACTTTGCTTGAGCACTGGCTTGGAGGAGGTTTGGTTTTGGTTCTTGTCTGGCAGTGCTGGAGATGGAGATAAGGCTTCCAGCGTGGTAGACAAGCCCTCTACCATTGTGCTGCGTGTCCACTCTTCTACTTCAGG